AGTCTCAAAAGTATCCTCTAGAGTATAAACTTTTCCCTGGACGAAGCTCCAATCAAAACCATGGAGTAAATTTGACAGTATCAACTGGAGAGTCCTCAGTCCCAGTGGCATCCCGGGGCAAATCCTCCGCCCTGATCCAAATGGTATGAGCTCGAAATGCTGGCCCTTGATGTCCGTCGAGCTTCCAAGGAATCTCTCGGGCATAAACTTCGTGGGGTGTTCCCAGATTCTTGGGTCGCGTCCCATGGCAAAAGCATTGATAAACAACGTAGAGCCTTTGGGGATGTGATAGCCACCAATCTTGCAAGCTTCATCCGAGCTGCGAGGGATGAGGAGTGGACCTGGAGGGCAAAGTCTCATAGTTTCCTTGATAATAGCTTGAAAATACTCCAGCTTTGAGAAATCGGACTCTTCGACTAGGCGGTTTGGACCCACGACAAGGTTGAGCTCGATCTGGGCTTTCTCCATAACAGAGGGGTTGTGAAGAAGTTGTGCCATCGCCCATTCAGCAGCTACTCCAGTCGAGTCTGATGCCAGAATTAGATCCTGTTATTTGAACAAAAGACAAGTTAATCTAGTTTGATCATTTTGGATGCTCCAGACTTACTGTTATAACAGCTTTGACAACGTTTTCGCCTCCTGACCCTTCCTCCTTGAAGTTCTCTAGCATGATATCCATGAAATCTTTGGTACTCTGGCGTGATTCCTTGTGTTCCTCAAGTACTTTTTGCAAGAACCTATCTTGAATCTCATGCAACTTCTTGAAGTGAGGGATGGAGGGATCAAGCCACTCAAGGAATCCTCTCAAGTAGGCTGGAACAAACTCTGTGATGTGGAACTTGATGGCCAGACTTAAGCTCTGGTGTATAGATCTCCTGAACTTTATGGAGTCTGCGTCTCCTTTGGAAGCATCGCCAAAGAATCTCCTGCTCATCAAAATCTCTGTCACTGCGTTGAATGTGAAAGTTGACAAAAGCTCTCGCAAGTTTACTGCCGCTTTTCTCTCGCTCGACTTTAGCAAAACGCGAAAGGCTCTGGACAATTCTTCCGATCTCACCCAAGAAAAAGAATTTATTCTCTGGGTTGTGAGGAACTCCACAGTGCAAATCTTTCGCAGCCGCTTCGTATGCTCGCCATAGCGTATTCCAATTCCCACGGAGTTGTAGCCTACAAGCTCATTGATCAAAAGATATGGCCTCGAAGCAAAGGCCAAGCCATTGTCCTTGAGCGCTTCTTTTGCCATCTCTGGACTGGAGACAATGATGCTTGGCACTAATCCCAGCTTCAAATACATTATTGGTCCACACTTTTGCGAGAGTGCTTGCAAAGATCTGTGTGCTTGCATCCCAACGAGATAGAGGTGGCCAACAAGTGGAATTGCCCATCCTGGAGATGGGGGCAAGTTGTTATTGTTCCTCCATAAGGCACTGAAGCCCATTATCAGAAAGAAGAGAAGCAATGTCGACTCCATTAGCTTGATATTTTTGGGAAGGGGCTTACTTATATATAGGAAAAGTATTGGTATAGTAGGAATAGTAAAGTCTTATTTGGACATGACACTCGTCGACTTTTCATTTGAAGATTATGCTTTGCTGTCACTAAACTCTTTGAGAACTGCAAAGTTGATGATTAACAGTTTAATTACCAAGTCTTCTGCTTGCATACTTGTCATAATACTATTTCATGCGTATGAATTTGGCACTAAATTCTGAATAATTCAAATTCAATAAGTTGAATGTGTCAGTCCGAGTTTGCAGGAGAAGTTTCCAAAAAAAATCCCAAGTAAAAGCATGTGGCGGTGGCGGTGTCAGCTCGACAGTGAGTCACCAAGAAAGTAGACTTCACTGGATTGAAAGGTACATGGCCCCTTACTGGATCAGTTGAAATCACAAACATTAACTGAGCAGAGTCTGCAAAAGCCCCTTGTGTCACCACGTTAAGTAACGGTGTTCTGAACTGAGTTGATATTGCTTCTCTTGCTACTCTTCTAATTAATCATGGGGTTCACTGCCTTATAGAGGAACAATAACAACTTCATGGGATTCATCTTGTTGGGAAAGACTGTGGATCAGTCATGTATTTAAAGCTAGGATTAGTGCCAAGCACCATTGTCTCCATTTTCATTAAAGTGGAATAAACAAAATTTGTGATAAATAAATGTACTATATTATTACTAGCATAATAAGATTTTAATTTTAATTTGGACCACTATTAACTAAGATTTTTAGGCTTTAAAAACAAACTTTATTACCTATGTATACAGTTTGACAGGTCGGCAGTCATAGCGTGACCCGAGGGGGGCGACAAATGAACCCACCAAGCCACTGCTCCCACAAGACTTTAACAGCTCGAAGCAAGCGTCAGGATTTTGGATCTCCCCAAAAGCTTCAATCAAATCCATATCTAGAAGAAAATTCTAAAAGGTGGCAGTGAAGGTGGCTTGATGTCGTGAGTGGCATTTTTTTCCTTGGCAGTGTGTAAAGAAAAATGCAGAATGCGAGAACTTCATAGAAATTTCAAATGGCTGCTTGCTTGCTTGGTATTTCAGATGAATCCATCGCCCAGATTGTATGAATTTTGTTTGTGGAGTTGATTGGTGTGGTCAACAGCATGATGCAATGCGCTATTCGCGACCTCATCTCTTTCCAGTATGCCGAATACCTTTGGAAGCCTTGAAAGCAAGCTACTGCCGAAGGCCTCAGTAGCGAACAGCACACTAGATGAGTCCTGCCGATTTATTAAGAAACAACGTTTATTTTAGAAAATATTCCACAAGAAGATATGTCCACGTTATTTAACAGTATCAGTTCAGATTTCAGCATAAACAGACGCTGAATGTCTTGGAACTGCCAGGAGTTTTAGAGGAGACTTGAGCACCAGCGTCGTCTCGAAGCAATCCTCAAGAGTTTGGATCTCTCCGGGAGGGAAGCTCCAATAAAATCCATGGACAAAGTTAGCCAAGAGCAGCTCAAGCGCTTTCAATGCGAGTGGCATCCCAGGACACATCCTCCGCCCCGATCCAAATGGTATGAGATCGAAGTACTGGCCCTTGAAATCCACTGATCTCCCAAGGAATCTCTCGGGCATGAACTCTGTGGGGCGTTCCCAGATACTTGGATCGCGTCCAATGGCGAAAGCATTGACAAAGAGTGTTGAGCCTTTGGGAACGTAGTAGCCACCAATCGTGCAAGCGACGTCCGAGCTGCGAGGGATGAGGAGCGGACCTGGAGGACAAAGCCTCAAGGTTTCCTTGATGATTGCTTGAAAGTACTCGAGCTTTGAGAAATCAGACTCTTGAACCAGGCGATTCGGACCCACGACAAGGTTGAGCTCGAGTTGAGCTTTCTCCAAAACATGAGGATTATGAAGAAGTTGTGCCATCACCCATTCAGCAGCCACGGCCGTTGAATCAGATGCTAGCAACAACTCCTGTCAACCACGATGGTATAAGGACTGAGTTTATATGCAGAGTGAACTTACTGTTATAAACGCTTTTACAGTGTCTTCTGCATTGAAACTCTCGAGCAGTGCGTCCATGAAGTCTTTGGGACGATCAGTTGGCTCTTTGTGTTCTTCGATGACCTTCTTCATGAACTTGTCTTGCTTCTCGTGCAATCTCTTGAACTGAGGGATGGTCGGATCGACCCATTCGAAAAAGCGCCTGAGGTGCGATGGAACAAATTCGGTGATGTGGAACTTGATTGTCAGGCTGAAGATTTCGTTAATAACATGTTTAAGCTCCATGTGTTGATCATGATCATCAGTGGTGTCCCCAAAGTATCTCTTGCTCATCAGAATCATTGTGAAGGCGTTGAATGTGAAAGTTGAGAAGAGATATCTCATGTCGACAGCCACATTTTCCTCGTAAGACTGTTGTAAGATACGAAACGCTCTCGAGAGTTCTTGGAGCCTCACCCACAAGGAGGAGTCCAGTTTCTGGGGAGCAATAAGTTCAGTCACACACATCTTACGCAGCCTCCTTGAGTGCTCGCTGTAGTGTATCCCAATGTTTTGGAAATTATACCCAATAATCTCGGAGACCAAGAGATATGGCCTCGAAGCAAATGCCAAGCCATTGTTCGTGAGAGCTTCTTTCGCCATCTCTGGGCTGGAGACAATGATGCTTGGGACCATCCCAAGCTTCAAGAACATAATTGGCCCATACTTTTTGGAGAGTGCTTGCAAAGCTCGATGTGGCTGCTTCCTAATGAGATGAAGGTGGCCGATCAATGGAAGTGCCCATCCTGGAGATGGGGGCAAATTCTTCTTTTATCCCACAAAGTGACCAGAATGCTAAGAGCTCCAGTGAGCACTAGTAAGAGAAAAGGAAGCGGGAAACTAGAGAGTGCTAACTCCATCAATTAGAAATCTAGAAGCTTTGAATTGGGTGACTTCACCGTGTTGTTTGGATCAAGAACTCGCGTTATACTTATATATCGAAGTTCTTGCATGCTTGAATTGACCATATTATTTTCATCACAAGACTTTGAAGTGTCCACAAATTTCCACTCATAATTAAATTTTTACAAGTCATATAGTCAAAGTCACCATATTAAAGGGTGGCACCAGAATTCTTAGAAGTGACTTCACGGCCGTCCTTGTTTAGTCAGCAAAACTGTTGAGACCGCTGTTTAGTCTACGCATCAAGCACAATGAATCTACGCGCTGACGGTGGCGATCGCGGCAGTGGTCCTGCACATCAGACATGGAGCCACAGGGTTTGGCGCAGCTCTTGCCAGAAATGGTGGAAACGTTGCTTCAGTTGTACACAACCCGGTTTAATCCCTCAAAAGAAGAAGGAAAAGAAAGAAGAAACCAGGTTACTCACCTCCATTTTCCCGAATTGTGGAATACACAGTCAAGAGGATCACTACTTCCTGAATTTTTGTTAATATTATCAGTCTGTGATGGCTTAACATGAAGATGGCTCAAACCAAATGGAAAAGAATGATGAGGAGATGCCATTCAATCACTATAACCTTTGTGTCCCATCAGCTTAATTCACAATGTTTATATCTGTTTATTAAAAATAAAAAATCTCAAGCTATGATATGTGCATTTTTGTTCTAGATGTGTTGTCTTTTATCAACATTTTCAGTGCAAGCTTCAATATCACCCTTTATGGATACCAGCCGCTTAAAAACTCTTCCTCACGGCCACCCTGAATTCACAGAAGCTTCAAAATGGCAATGGCGTCTTGCCGCTTCCTCGAGTTCCAGCGAGGCCTGACCAGAAGCTAGATTTTTTCTGGTCATCGCCCCCTTAGTACCTCAGCGTTGATAATATCAGTGTGCCTCCGCTGCTCCCTCGATTACGTGTAACATCGGCTACTCCTTTGAGGTACCATGGTTTTCCACCACGGTTTCACTCCACACGTCCAAAATGAGAGTACATCGTCTGCAACGAAAACAGAAACCGGTATGTTAATCAAGAACTTCAACACACGAAGTAAAATTCGAGAGCAAAATACCTTTGAGAAAAGTTTCAGAGTTCGTCATTTGGCTCTTGCTTTCTCTCCTTTGCCAGCTTCCGTTTTTCAATGACAACTTCCAGCGGAGGATCTCCAGGGCGCCGAAAAGCTTGCTGCCCAATTTTCACTTCATAAGCTTCTGGCTGCCTTAGGAAAAAGTCCTTGAGCTGAAAGAAAGAAGAGATCAACAAAAGATATCAATACTGGAAAAATCCATACCTCCGTGGTTTCCTTTCCGCTATCTAGTGTAAACATGAGGGTGTTTAAATCCACGGCAGTCACTCTGGCACCAATGCCTCCAGTGCGAAGAAGCCGCGACCATTTCTTCGCAAGCTCTGGCAGCTCCTCCTAATCAGCATTCACAAAATCTCGACTTAAATCCCGACTAAACTAACAAGAACAAGCAAGGAAATTCGATCCTTACCTTTGATCGTGGAACATCCAAGCGGAGCTTGACGAATCCCATTGCGGGACCAATGTGGCGCTTCATCATCTCCGCCTGGATCTGGTCGGGCGTCATACCTGTGAAGTCCGGCGGAGGATCAAAAACGGGCTTGGAGACGGCCTTCTTCCCCCACATTTTCCACTCCTCATCCTCCTCATCGTCAACGACATCATCCAGATGATCGGGAATCCGGACCTTCTTAGCCACAGCAGCGATCACAAGCAGCTGGATCATCGCTACGAGCAATCGCCGCGCCATAGCCACCAACCCTAGCTTGAGCTGGAAGCATGAGTGACGTCAGCAAACCAGCCACGTCATCAAAATTTAAAAATAAAAATCTCTAGCTTGGTACTGTCGGGGGTTCGATTCCTGCCAGGGACGCGTTAAAGAAGACCAAGAAGTGGAGAGAACAAGAATCATTCTTTAAGTGTGAAGCATGTCTTCTCACTCCCGCCCACACGACATCGTCGAGGCGCTAGGGTTTGGCGATCTCCAGGTAGGCGCCCCAGATCCATCCGCGGGAATGCAGGATGGCTAGCTCGAGAATGCGATGAATTTCAGCGTCGAGATCTGGAAGAGGAGCTTCCAGCGCTTCGGCTTGGGCGATCCGAGCAAGAGTCCAGCGGCAGCGAAAGAATCGGAGGAGTCCGATGAGGAGGAAGATGGATTTCGGAAGCTCCAGGAGAAGCACGCGGCCCTGGAGCAGAGAGTGCGCGCCTTGGAGACGCGCCTCACCTACAAAGAAGCCCAGGTCTTGAGCTTTGAGGAGAAGTTGGGCGCGTCACAGGGAAGAATCGATGACAACCAGAAAGAAGTGGCCGCGCTAGCAAGAGAGAGCGAGGGGAAAGATCGGGTGATTCTGGAGCTCAAGAAAGAATGGGAGGAGAAGAAATCCGAGTGGAGCAGAAAAGAGGAGGCTTTCGTGAATGAGATCCAGGGGCTGGCCTCGGAACTTGAGGACAAATGCGTGGAGTGGAACAGCGCTTGTGTGGAGGCCAGGATCGAGAAAGACAGGTCGCGCGCGATGGAAAGCTCGCTGCGAGAAAAGATCGAGGAGCTGCGGTGTAGCAGAGAAGCTCGCGAAGCATCCCAAATGGCCTATGACGCTCAGCTCCAGTCCTTGAGGCAAGCAATGGATCGAGCTACGAGTGAGCTCCAAGAAAAACTGGTGGAAAATGTGTCCTTGAGGAAAGTTCTCCTCGCAAAGGACGCCGAGCTTTCCAGTTTGAAGGAGGAGGCCGGGGATTTACGTGAGAAAACGTCGAAGCTTGTGGAGGAGACCCGGGAGGCTCAAGAAGAACGCCATCGCTTGAAGGGCATGCTGGCGGCGACGAGCCTTGCGTACAACAAGGAAGTGGTTTCGGATTTAAGGACGAGTATTGATCCTGGCAACGAGGTGGCTGAGAGGCTGGATGGAGCAAATGCGAAGATGAAGGAGCTCGAGTCCATGCTGGGTGAGCTCATCACTTTCGCTCGAGAGAAGGACGAGAAGCTGGATGCTTCCGAATGGACCGTGCAGCAGCTGGGATTGTTCGAGCTGTCCAAGATTAAGGCCAGCCTAGCTCAAGCCGAGAAGGATCACGTCCAGCTCAAACAGGAGATTTGCGAGCTAGAGAAGAAGCTTCAGTTCAAGGAGGACGAGCTGGCGGACATGGAGAAATACTCGAGACTGCTGCGAAAGCAGTTGAGAAAGGTCGAAGGCGAGGCCGAGACGATGAAGGAAAACTTGCAGCTAGCTCAAGCCAAGTACGATGGCTTGAAGGCGGATCACGACGCAACATTGTCACGAATCGCCGGTTTCGACGAGCTCAAGAACAACCACGTCGTGATCTCTCGTCACGACGACAAGCTCAAACAGATCCATCTGGAGCTCCAGAGAACGAAGATGAACACCAAAGATCTTATGGAGAAGATGCTCTCGCTCCAGAGCAGCCTTGTTCGTGGTCACGACGACAAGAAACTTTTCTGTTCGTCTCCAGGGAAGAATTCCAATTCTCTCGAGCTTCCAGTTCTCAGGTACGCTTTGTTCTTTACTTTGATTCAAAGATCGTTGAGATTGTAAGTTTTTCTCCCAGGAAAAACTCGATGATCGACGACCAAGGCAAGAGCTGCAATAAGAGAGGCCGGAATTTCGATATAAAAGCCGAGAAGGAAATTGATCTTGCTAGCAGGGATACTGCCGTGATCACTGAAGAACCAGTTCGCGTGATACCAAAGAGGCAGCGACAGTAAAAAAGGGTTTTTGTTTAATCTCTTAAACTAAAATGTTTTATTACACCTAAGTTAATACAAAGCTTTTCTTTTAACCTTAACCTCGGGATAGAGCATTTTCGAAATGGCTGCTAAAGCGGGAAGATCTCGTCGCTAGGGCTTGGCGAGAGGAAGCGGTGGCGCGTGGATGCGGCGCCGACGCCTAGAGGTACGATGGATTCGCGCATTGCTTAGATCTGGAGCTCAGCTCGGCGCTTGAAATCTTTTGGTCGCAGGTGTAGCTGACAGATTTGGGGGCAATGGATCTTCTGCTCGAGAGCAAGGACGGGGAGATCGCGGCTCTCAACGATCAGGTACTCCGCCTCGGGCAGAAGAATAGGGTTTTAGAATCGGCCTTGGGTGGGCTCGAGGAGAGGATCCGGGGGCTGGAATCGGGGTTGGGTCGCAAAGAAGTGGAAATCTTAGGCTTGGAGGGGAGATTGGGCGAGAAGGAGGACGAGACAACGGCATTGGCTGCAAAGAACAAGTCCCTTCGCGAGCAGATTGATGGGCTATGTGACGCTGTGAAGGACCTCGAGAGGCAGCGAAGCTTGTCGGTAGAGAAGGAAGAGGCTTCGCTCAAAGAGATCCAGAGGCTATCTTTCGCGCTAGAGGAGAAGTGTGGTGCTTTGGGTGATGCTGTTGCCGATGCTGCGAAGCACAGGGAGCTGTGTCGGGCATTGGAGCAGACCCTCGAGCAGAGAACTCGAGCAAAGGATGTGGAGCTCGAGGCACTGAAGAAGGACGTCCAGAGCAAAGATACGCAGCTCGTTTCTTTCAACGAAGATGTTGTCGAGCTTCGCGAAAAAGCTCGTGGCATGCAGTCGACGATCGAGAGACTCGAAGAGACAGTAGCTGGTCAGAGCAAACGCCTGTCCGTGAAAGAAGCCGAAGTAACGAGCTTGGAAGCAAATGTGAGCGTTTTGCATGGGAAGCTCGGTGAGAAGGAGGAAGAGCTGCAGTCGCTACTGAAAACCAGGAAGACTTTGGTCGAGCAGAATGAGCTGCTGAAACAGACCGTGCAGAAGTTTGAGCAAAGGAAAGCTGAATGGATCAAACAGGAGGAAAGCTTTACTCGACAGGTTCAGGAGCTCGCTATTTCTCTCGAAGAAAAATGCGCCGCTTTGAAATCTGCCACCAAGGAAGCAAGGGATGCAAAGGAACGATGTAAGGAGCTGGCAACCTGTTTGACAGAAAAGGTTGAGGAGCTCAAGTGCTACCGGAAGAAGTGTGAGGATCTTCAAACTTCTCTCGAGTTTTGTGAAGGAGAGTTGAAAGCACTACAGGATGAGAATGAGCGACAACAGAAGGCTTTGCAGCTCTCAGCGGTCGAGTCGCGCTTAGAAACATTAGCCAGTCGGTTGAAGATGAAGACCGAAGAACTGGAGGCTTTGACGAATGAAGCGAACATCAAAGACGAGAAGCTCGGGGCCATGTCCGAAGAGGTCGAACAATTACGACGAGAAAACAAAAAGCTCAACACAACAGCACAGCGCCTACAGAAGACACTGGACTCTCGCTTGGCTGAATCTGCAGCACAGTTGCTGGATCTTTCAGAGAAACTTACGCAATCGCAGAACAGCCTGTCTAAAAAGGATGAAGAACTTACAGTTCTACTCGAGGACAACGAGAACTTGCAGCAGGAGGCTCAAAGGTTCAGGCAATCGCTGGTTGAGTTTGAGATCCGAAAATCCGACTGGGAGAAGAAAGAACGCGCTCTTACGGACGACGTCTTTGCACTGTCCTCTTCTCTTGAAGATCGAAATGCTGCTTTGGAATCTGTTGCTATGGAGGTAGACAGGCTGAAAGCAAGATGCCAAGACTTGGAGTCATCTCTGCAGGAAGAGGTTGGAAAGTTGCAGCGTTGCATGCATGAACGGAATGCATTGGAATCAGCATTAAGCTCAAGCCAGCAGGAGCAGGAGGAATTACGGACAGCAGCAGCTTCGGAAGCTCAGCTTCTCCGGGAGAAGCTTTCGATATCCGATTCTCAACTGACAGACGCTTGGAGCCGTTTGAACATGAGAGCTCAAGAGATGGAGCTCATGTCCAAGGTTCTTGAGGAGAAAGAGTCTCAGCTCTGCTGCATCAGTGACGAACTTCGCGAGCTCCGTGACCTTAAGGTGACACTGGACTCGGCAGCCGAAACTTCAAGAACGAGCATTGAGGCTTTAGAAGCTTCCCTGAAGGCGCGACAAGCGGAATGGTCAGCTCTGGACGAAAAGCTTGCGACGGTCGAAACCAAATTGGCTGAGACGGAGGAAGCTTTGGAAGTCGCTTGCAGGGAGAAAAGAGAATCAGAGGAACGAATCACTGGGCTTAAGCAGGCTATGATTGAACTGGAGGACAGGAAGAATTGCTGGCGAATAAGGGAGGAGGATCTTATCAGCGAGCTCGGGAAACTTTCATCGTCATTCGAAGACAAGTGTGCTACCTTAAGTCGTATGGAGCTGGAAGCGAAGGTTCAGAGAGAGGCGGCCGAAGCCATGCAGACCTCTCTTCAGATAATGGAGAGCTCTTTCATGAAGACGGTTGCGGAGTTGGATAGCTGCAAGGCTCAGCACGATCTTCTTGGCGTGACTTTGGCTTCCCGGGAAGAGGACTTGGTCTCTGTACGGGCCGAAAGCGCTCAGCAGGTGGAAGCCTTGAAAGAGAGGCTATCTACGACTGAGTTTCAGCTGAAGGAAGGTGTTGACCAGCTCCATGCGAAGTCTGCAGACATGGACCTTGTGGTCAAGGAACTTGGCAACCGGGAGACCCAGCTAGCTTGTGCGAAAGAAGAGATCCAGCATCTTACTGAGAAGAACAGCCACCTGGACTTTACGGTCCAAAGCTTGCAAGTGAAGGTCTCGAAGGTTGCCGAGGAGTTGAAGAGGAGCGAAGCAAGAGGACAACAGCTTCTCAGCGACTTGACCAGCGCAGAGTCCAAGCTTGCATCGAGCAAGGAGATGGTTTCCGGCCTGCAGCTCAAAGTTGATCTTGGGAACCAGATCAGTGCAAAGATGGAAGGAGCGAATGCCAAGATCAAGGAACTGGAGTCCATGCTGGCGCAGCTCATGGCATTTGCTCAAGACAAAGATGAGAGGCTGGACGCATCGGAGTGGGCAGTACAGCAGCTGGGACTTATCGAAGTGTCCAAAGCCAAGGCCAACCTCGAAAGAGCCGAACGGGAACGAGTGCAACTCAAAAACAGGTGTGCGGAGCTGGAAAACGAGGTGAAAGTGAAAGAGGAGGAGCTTTTGGACTTGGAGTCGTGCTTAAGTCAGCTAAAAGTCGAGCACGACAAGGACGCGGGCAGCATCGAGGACTACCGGGTAGAAAAACGCAGGCTCGAGAAGGAGATCGAGAGACTCGAGTGGGACTTGTCGATCTCTCACGAGGATGCGTCCATCACCAGCAGCAAGCTGAAAGAGATCCAGTGCGAGCTTCAGAGGGCGCAGCTCAACGGCAAATGCCTGGTCCAGCAGATGCTCATGCTCCACGAAAATCTTCTCCAGGAGGGAAAAGCGCTGCTGGAGATTGGCAAGGACGACGCCTCGCCGGTCAGCTCCGTGCGTTCTTCGAGGTACTTAGTCGATCAAACCACTAGCTTTCTTTCCTGCAAAGATTTACATTTCTTTCATCTTCCTCGCAGGAGAAGCTCACTATCAGCGAGCAAAGTGTGTGATGAAAGTCCGAGGTACGTAGCTTCTTTGGTTTAGAGCTTTCTAAAGTTTTTCTTTATAACTTAGACGCGAGAGCATCGATTTCGATGGCAAAGAAAATGTTCCAAGCATTGCTTTGAGCGCTGCGATCAAGAACTTCGATGCCACTGCCAAGAATTTTGAGGCTGCTTCTCCCAATCCGGTGGAGAGAGCTCCATTCCAAGTTCTCCATCTCGGCGACGTGTAAAAAATAAGACAGAGAAAAGACCAATGTAAAACTATAAAGTACTCTGTTTAGAATGGAAGAACTAGGGTTCTTGGGAGAGCGAGGAAAAAGATCGTGGAATGCTGGCGCCACGCTCTTCCCATTCTCCGGATTCTGCGACGCGCTTGATAACGAGGTGAGTGATCCTCCGGCTGGGAGCTAGAAATCATCGCAGCTAGATCGAGGACAGGGGAATGTGTGAAAATATTTCTTGATCGATCGATTTCGCGCTGGTTCTATCTGGCTGGGAGCTAGGAATCATCGTCGAGATCGCGGGAAATGTGAAAATATTTCTCGCGGTGTAATCGATCGAGCGATTGATCTTGCGCTCGCAATGACTAGCGATCTGGCGCGTTTCATCGCGATTCTAACCCTGGGATTCGTGATATGCGCTGCAGGGAGCGAGATTGTGGACGAGAATGCCGACCCGATCAAGAGCTTCGAGGTGGAGGAGGAGACGTGGGCGCTACTGGCGCTCAAATCCGCCTGGAACGACATGGCCGAGCATTTGATGAGCTGGGATCCATCCAAGGGGACGCCCTGCGGCGCGCAGGGCTGGGTGGGGATCAAATGCCGCCGGGACAACTCCACTGGCCTCGTCCAAGTCGTGTCGATCGTCCTGCCAAAGGCTTCTCTCGATGGTGGCTTCCTGGTGGGTGATATTGGCTCTCTGTCCAAGCTTGAGAAGCTAGCTCTTCCCGGGAACAGGCTTTCGGGGAGAATCCCGGTGGAGCTCAGCATTCTCCAAAACTTGGTATCTCTAGATCTCTCGAGCAACCTCTTATGGGGGACGATTCCAGTGGAGCTTGGATCTCTTCAAAAGCTCAAGGTATGGTTTTCATTCAAGAAGAATAAAAAAGTTCTCTCTATTCTTTGGAGTTTGTTCTGACTTTGCCATCTTCTAGGCACTCTCACTTGCAAACAACAGCCTCACTGGTGTTATTCCTCCAGAGATTGGGAACTTGACACAGCTTACAGTGCTCTATCTCCAGCAAAACCAGCTTGTTGGAAAGATTCCAGCCGAGCTCTGCGACTTAACGGCCCTGGAGGCACTCTACCTCCACAGCAACTATCTCACTGGACCGATTCCACCGGAGCTAGGCAGGCTCAAGAAGCTGGCAGTTCTTCTACTCTTCTCCAACGAGCTCACAGGTAGCATCCCTGAAACGCTCGCCAACCTGACCAACTTGGAAGCTCTGGTGCTGTCGGAGAACAGTCTCTCGGGTTCCATCCCTCCTGCGATTGGATCGTTTCCGGTGCTACGCGTGCTCTACCTCGACTCTAACAATTTGTCGGGATTGATACCACCCGAGATTGGCCTCCTGCCTTGTCTTCAAAAGTATTGCTCCTCGAATCCGACCAACGCGTACTTCAACGGGCCTCCGGCTATCAGGCTCTTCTCCAACAATCTCCAGGGTCCGATCCCTCCAGAGATTGGAAACTTACAGAGCTTGGAGATTCTGGAACTTAGCTCCAACCAGCTCTCGGGCGGCATTCCTCCAGAGCTCGGGAACATGACGTCGTTGGTTCATCTCGACTTGCAGTTCAACAATCTGTCCGGCCCGATCCCTCCAGATATTTCTCTTCTCTCTCGCTTGGAGGTACTGTCACTGGGATACAATCGGCTTTCTGGAGCAATTCCATACGAGGTTGGCCTCCTCTTTTCCCTACGGCTCATGTACCTTCCTAACAACAGCTTGAGTGGACACATTCCAGCGGACCTCGAGCACCTCAAAATGCTCACTCAGGTGGACCTCGATTTCAACGAGTTGACGGGCTCCATTCCAAAGCAGCTCGGCTTCCTCCCAAACTTGCAGGCACTCTTTCTTCAGCAAAACAAGCTTCAAGGAAGTATTCCACCGGAGCTTGGACAGCTCCGGTCGCTGCGGTTTTTAAACCTGGGAAACAACAACCTCACAGGTACAATTCCTCGAGAACTGAGCTCTCTAACCGGGCTGTCGCAGCTTCTCCTCAACAACAATTCTTTAAGCGGTGCAATCCCACCAGAACTCGGTCTGCTGCAGTTTCCTCTCTACTCCAGCCTTCCAGAGCACGTCCACTTTGTTTCGGACCAGTCGGCCATGGACTTGAGCGGAAATTATCTTTCTGGTCCTGTTCCACCCGAGCTTGGGAACTGCTCGCTCTTGACGGTGCTCAACCTTGCGGATAATCTCCTGACGGGCACTGTTCCAGAGGAGCTCGGTAGCCTTTCGTTCCTGGCTTCTCTGGTTTTGGAAAACAACCAACTTGAAGGCAAAGTACCGTCGAGTTTGGGGAACTGCTCGGGCTTAATTGCTATTCGGCTGGGACACAACAGGTTGACAGGCACCATACCAGAAAGTTTCGGCCTGTTGACGCACCTTCAAACGTTCGACATGAGCTTCAACGGGTTGACAGGCAAGATTCCACCGCAAATCGGGCTCTGCAAGAGCCTTCTATCCCTGGCTCTCAACGATAACGCTCTCAAAGGCTCGATTCCGACGGAGTTGACAACACTTCCTATTCTCCAATTCGCAAGCATGGCACACAACAAGCTGACGGGAGTTATACCTCCAACTTTGGACTCGCTAGCTCAACTACAGGTGCTGAACTTGGAAGGAAACATGCTTTCCGGTAGCATTCCTGCCAAAGTCGGTGCGATACGTGACCTTCGCGAGCTTGTCCTGAGCTCCAACCGACTGTCCAACAACATACCTTCGAGTCTTGGCTCTCTATTGTTCTTAACGGTGCTGCTGCTGGACAAGAACAACTTCACTGGTACAATTCCGCCAACTCTTTGCAACTGCTCTAGTTTGATGCGCCTCAACCTCTCGAGCAACGGGCTTGTTGGGGAGATACCGAGACTCGGAAGTTTCTTGAGGTTCCAGGCGGATTCTTTTGCTAGAAACACCGGGCTCTGCGGTCCTCCGCTCCCTTTCCCGAGGTGTTCGGCAGCAGATCCAACAGGGGAGGCTGGTAACACGCTTGCAGACTTTCACAACTGGAAGAAATGGCTTACAGTGCTTGGGCCGGCTGTGGCAGTGTTGGCGGTGCTGGTCTTCGTTGTTTTGCTGGCCAAGTGGTTCCATTTGCGTCCAGTTCAAGTCACGTATGATCCGTCAGAAAATGTTCCCGGCAAGATGGTGGTGTTCGTCAACAACTTTGTTTGCGACTACGACGACATCGTCGCTGCAACAGGCGGTTTTGACGATTCCCACTTACTGGGAAAGGGCGGCTTTGGAGCCGTCTACGATGCAGTTTTACCCGATGGCTCGCACCTGGCAGTGAAGCGGCTGCGAAACGAGAACGTTGCGAATGATCCATCTTTTGAAGCGGAGATAAGCACTCTTGGTCTCATCAAGCACAGGAACCTGGTGTCGCTCAAGGGGTTCTACTGCAGCGCTCAGGAAAAACTCCTGTTTTACGACTACATGCCATGTGGAAGTTTGCACGACGTGCTCCACGGTGGTGGTGTCGCCTCTGCCTCTCCATCAACGTTGCTAAGCTGGATGGCTCGTCTTAGAATTGCCGTGGGGACTGCTCGAGGCCTACTCTACTTGCACGAAGGCTGCTCGCCTAGAATCATCCACCGGGACGTGAAGTCGAGCAACATTTTACTAGACTCGGACATGGAGCCTCACATCGCCGACTTTGGACTGGCGAGGCTCGTTGAGAACAATGCCACTCATCTCACGACAGGCATAGCCGGAACTTTGGGATACATCGCCCCGGAGGTGGTTTCGACGTGCAGACTCTCGGAGAAAACAGACGTGTATAGCTTTGGCATCGTTCTCCTGGAGCTGCTCACGGGAAGAAAGCCACTCGTCTTGGGGAACCTGGGAGAGATTGTCAGCGTGACTACATGGGTGAAAGCTATGAACCAGCAAGGCAAAGGCATGGAAACATTCGACAGCGAGCTGGCGTCTTCGAGCCCCTCTTCGGGACCAGTTCTAGTGCAAATGATGCAGCTGGCGCTTCACTGCACATCCGATTGGCCTTCAAGACGTCCTTCCATGAGTAAAGTCGTGGCTTTTCTCGAGCTCCTGCAAGAAAGCTTGCTCAGAGAGGAGGAGGAGTCCAAGCAGCTTCTCCTCTTAACCGACAGGGCGGATCAACAGAGCGAGAAAATCAGCCTGCCGTCAGACGACATGATGGAGAGATAGATCGACCATTCAGGTAAGATATTTACTTTCTATTGCTTTGTTCAAGAGCTAGAGCACTGACAACATGTACAGGAACATGGAAAAAAAGAGAGAGAGAGAGACATCAAGAAGGAAGACCTCTCCTTAGTAGCATTTGAAGCCTGGAGCAACGCGAAACTTGCAGCTGGAAACGTAAGACTTCATCACCGAATTTGCTCGTCGTCCTTTGGTGGCAATCAGCATGCTGCAGAAGCAGTCGGGAGTCATCGTTTTGGCGGCGTTGCAACAGTTGACGTCGGGCTTCTCCATGACGGACCCAAACTTGACACAGGGGACACACTTCTCATAGATTTCAGCCTGGTTACAAGCCGATCGAGCACCGGCGAGCATCTGGAGAAGCAGCACTACGATCAGGAAGAAGCAGCCAGCAGGAATTCTAGCCATAGCTGAAGCTCTCGATTCCACAACTTCAAGGCAGAGAGAAGAAAGAGAAGTATCCAGTACGTTTAGAAGCGAGCAATTTATAGCGCGGCAACTCAACACGGTGAGGAGACAACGCTGCTTCGTGCAAAGGTTTTTTATGTGGAAGGTCGGCATACTTGTCTAGTCGAGCGCCAACACAAGTAAGTTTATCAAATACTTCTCATGTCTATCGCTTATGTGGTCCAGCTTACTTACAGCTCGCGCTCGGGTCGTAGTTTTTTACAGGCTCTCTCTCTCTCTCTCTCGTGCGTGCGCTTGGTCTGTCGGGAGACAAATGCATCGCAACTGGCTTCTACGAAGGTGGCGAGAATTACAACTTGAGGCAGAGTCGGTTCCTCCAGGAAAGTCGTTTCAAAGTTCTCGCTGAGGTTTATCTTCTTTCTGTTTTGTCTAGCGAAGCTTATGAATTAAAGTGAGAGAGATTGCTATCCTCCCACTCTCGAGCGTTTCTCTCCAGGTAAAGATCGAAACTATGGAAAGGAGATTTGATATTACGTTGACTTTTGGTTTGCTATAATATAAGCAGTTTAAAAAGCTTGATTCTTTTTTTCCAACGCATTCGCCACACACGCCCTTGACCTCGCAAGCGGTTTCTCCAGCCCAGCAGCCATCACAAATACAATGATCGTGGTGCTGAGGATCAATCTCAGGAGAGTCCATGTCTAGTTCACAGATTAAAAATATGGAGACAGGAAATATTATGATAGAGTAGATGTTCCATTCCTTACCTTGATCAGATGCGCTGCTGCTTACCAGCAAGCAAATGAGTAAAACACAAATTACAAGTGATACCTTGGCCATAGCTTTTATGTGAAAAGACTAAAGAGTTACATTTATATTTGGCCAGTGCGCCAGGGCTGAGTTCACAAAGCACATACGTTTTGTCCATTTCAAAACGCAAGGAGTTGTAGCCGGTTTTAAGTTTTAACATAATTACTGTTTATAAAGTTAAATCGTAACATTTTAGATTATTTGTATCAAAATCCGTATGTATAAATGTAAAATAAAATTATAAACATATAGTTACTAATTAAATCATATACATATTAAATAAACACCAGCGTGTTAAAGTCAAACCATTGAGTAGAGCAGGCCATTTCTTAAAATTTAATATGCCAAAACTGAGCATCTTTGGAAAACTCGACAACCACTTAGCAACTTTCGAAAGGTATCACAAATCAGTGTGCCCACAGATGCAACCCAGGAAATCACATACATGAATGAATTGGCACCACTTTCTCACAATTTGCTCAGAAGAAAAAGAAGAAGGATTCTAGTTTGTGTTCTAATGTTTTGCTTGCTAATTAGCAGCAATGGAACTGGAACTCAAGGTATGAAAAGATAAGATTCTAGATTTCTTATGTGGTGTTTCAGAATCCTCTAAAATTCATCCTCAACACAACTGCAATAACACCGATGACAAAAAATTCAATAAATACTGCATTTGTGATGGCTGCTCTGCAAATGATCCAGATTGCCTCAAAATTGGTAACTATGGGAACTCCCAAGATCCAATTGGGCTTGTAAATATCCTCTGGCCACTTTGATTCAGTAGGGTATTTGCTGTAACCGTGAGAACTATAATATGTATATTATATTATATGTATTATATATATATATGGCAAAATAGCTGAATTACGTGGCTTAAAGTTTGATGACCTGGCATTTTTGTAGAAGAGCCCTAGCATGGTTTTGGGGCTGCTCGTCTCTCCCGCCGCGTCTAGTGTCCACCCTGGAGCGGCGGTGGCGGCGGCGGCCACCGCGAGATCTCCTGGCAAAAAATTCGCGGTGTTTGTGGCCGGCTATGGCACGGATTACACAGAGCGCAAGCACGGCGGCTATGGGGCGCTGCTCGTCAAGCTCTTGAGCGATCCTGGTGAGACATGGGAAACTTTCCGCGTTGTGGATGGGATTTTCCCCAGCGAGGAACAATTGGCTGATTACAGTGGCGTTGTTGTGTCTGGGAGCGCGTACGATGCGCACGGGAACGAGGCATGGATCACGCAGCTCTGTGGAGTTCTTTGCGATCTACACGAAGAGAAAAAGAGAATTCTCGGCGTTTGCTTCGGCCACCAGGTAAAAGCATCTGCAAGTTTATGATCGATCGCGATCTTTGGTTGTTTCTTTCAAGGTTTTGAGCCGCGCGCTTGGAGGAGTGACTGGAAGAGCTCCCGTGGGATGGGAAGTTGGCTTGAAAGAAATGTACACTAACGACCACTTTCAGCTGAAGCGATATGGAAGGAACATCCCGAAGAGACTGCGAGTCCTGCAAAGCCATCGCGATCAAGTAAGTGTGATTCGTTATCATCTCTTGCCTAGATCGATCATCTTTTGGAATCCAAGGTTCTTGAGCTGCCGCCGGGAGGAACACTGCTTGGCTCGTCCCAGAACACGAGAGTGGAGATGTTTGCGGTGGAGGATCACATTCTTGGCATTCAAGGCCACCCGGAGTTCACCAAGGATGTGCTGCTCGACATAATCGAATCGCGTCGTGCCTCGCAGGCCCTCTCGGTAAGCTACTTTGCTTTACTCGGATTTGATGCTATTTGCCTCACAGATCACTGAAGCCAATGAAGCAAAGGCTTCGCTAGAAGCAGCTCAAGACGAGGATAGGCAGCAGCTTAGTGAGCTTTGCAAGAATTTCCTGAAGGATTAAGAGGTTAATTGGAAAACACATGTGTATAAGTCAAAGGTGGTAAAACCTGGTTAAGATGGGATATATTATATATACAAAGGTGGTAGGGATGAAAAGATGCAAAGTTCGTGGGTGGTGGTAGAAAACGTGGAATTGGACAGCCATCTGTGCCATGGGCTTGGCCGCCACGAAGAATGTCCACAACTCTTCTCGGACTTGCCGCTTGACGCGTTGATTTTTCACAATCTGAGCGGGAAGAGGCGTAATAACACAATGGTCCAAAGGCTTCTTGACGAACGCTTGGCATTCAAGGCGCTGGAATCTTTGGATGAGACGTGTGATGAGGAGACTTTCACGCGAGCGATTGCATTTTCTTTTGACTGGAAAGATCATTTTGTCTGTGATACGATTTTGGACACCATGGACACGATGAAAACCTTGGGCTATAAACGTGGGATTGGGGTGTTTGAGAAGGTGCTATCGTGGACAGAAGATCTTCCGCGAGATAATTGAGGAGCATCCAGACGTTGCTGAAAAGCCATATGTTTACGAGAAGGCACTGGAGATAAGTTCTTCTTGGGAGTATAAACGCTTCATTAGTTTGGAGGCGGCGTCAAGCTACAACCTGAATGTTTCTTCTTCAAAACGAGATATGGCAGTGATTTGGACAAGGCTCTCAGTTTGTCAATCGAGAAATGTGATGATCCAAAACAAGCTTATCAGGCTGCGTTGGATTGTGCCTTTGTAGTAAGTTACCCCAATAACATTGCCTCTGTCCTGAGAAAGGCTGTAAAGGCATGGATGAATCCAACTGTGCACCTTATCCGCTACCTTGGAGAAATATTGGGAGAGATGTTCTTGGCCTCGTCAAATTGGACGATGAAGAACTAGCAATAGTTAAAACGAATTTTAGTGACAGCGAGCCACAAGAAAATGTTAGAGACCTGTTTGAGCTAGCAACCAAAAGTGCATGCCAGCCATTCCTTAAAACTCCTCAAGCAGATGCTGATTCCTCACCGACGGACGAGCTCAGAGAAGGCATTGCTCTTGTTTGCCGCATTTTGCAATTTATTCGAGAAGGTCATTATTTGTTGGTCCTTAAAATTTTAGCCAAAAATAGAAATCATTAAATTGGAAAATAATATATTCTGTGAGGGCCAAGTGTACGGCTACGATGCCGTATACTAATATTAGCGTAGTGGATTTTGGTAGCCGTCGGATTGGTTTCAATCCGGATCACTCGCTCTTGTATATAAGCTAGGGTTTTTGGGCTAATTAATATGCACATTTCTGTATTCCCTTTCCATATTCCATGCACTCACATTGGTGGAGGTGAGGGGCACCTTTGATTGTCCCTGGGGAGTGCTTGGATTTGGGATTTCGGTTTAGATCTAGCTTTTGCATCGTCTAAATCTAGCTTTTTCCATTTCCTTTCTTTTGTTCTTTCCTTTTAGAATTTTGGTTTAAATTTAGCTTTTGCATTGTCTAGATCTACCATTTCTTTCCAGCTTTTTTGTCATTTCTCTTCTTTTGCTCTTTCTTTTTCGTTCATCTTCATGGCCGATCCGCAATCTCCTCCTTTGACTCTAGAGTAGCAGTTGGTTCAATTGCTTGATGCTATGCGCTTGCAATTGAACAACCAAACTCAGTTGATGGCGGCGTTCACGGCACGTGGTACAGCTCCTCCTGCTCTTGGTGCCAATCCTCGCGTTCGGCCGGAGTTCTTTCGCGGGAATCCTGGGGATGACGTGTACCATTAGTTCGATCACTTTACGGTGATTGCCACATATCATTCTTGGGATGATGCTCGATAGTTGCGTGAGTTTCCCACATGTCTCCAAGGGACGGCGTTGCAGTGGTACAATGGTTTGAGCACAGCCACTCGTGGGGATTGGAGTGTTCTCCTGGACGTCTTCAAACGCGCCTTCGGACATGCCGATGATTGTGATGATGCTTTCCAACAATTGCATCGTCTTCGCCAGATGCAGTTTGGCGTTCGTTTCCGAAGTCTTTTGCTTCGTGCGGAGCCAAATATGTCGGAGCGGATCAAGCTAGGAATGTTGTGGCCAGCACTTCGTCAAGATCTTGTCAAACTTGTGCATGCACTTGCTCCTGCCACCCTTGACGATGCTCGTCGCTTGGCACAACGTTATGAGACGTCGCCTCTTCCACTTCTCGCTGCACGTCCTTCCGCTCCACTTCCTATGGGTGATGGTCCTGTTCCAATGGAGGTTGATGCTGCTGCTGCTCGAGTCCAAGGACAAGCGCGAGGACGTGGTCGTGGCCGTGATGTTCGCTGCTGGGCGTGTGATGAAGTTGGTCATACTTATCAGCGTTGCCGTCATTTTCCAGATTGGCGACCTCCATTTCCTGGGTGGAGACCTTGGCGTCAGCAACGTCCCCTGGGTGCTGCTGCAGTGGAAGGTCTGGACACCAAGATGCATCCGGGAAACGAGGAGTCGCGCGAGTAATGGAGGGACCTTGTGCGAATAAATCAGTGACCCCTCCATCTTTCTTTCGGGAGTATCATCAAGGGGTTCACTCGGCACCAGTTCATCCAGTGTTTACTTTCCAAGCTCGTTTTTATAACAAGAGGTCTCCTATTATTCTCTCCGTGTTGGTTGATAATCTTCTATTGCTCGACCTGTTGCCACACGTTATCATCTACACTTGCGTCGTGCGGCAGAACTAGTTTTCATTCTTTATGGCAACGGCCGTACACATGCATGTGCACGGGATGAGGTGGACCTGGTTGTGCGTGTGGGTGATCTCGAGCTTGAGTTGCAGTCGTTGCGGGTGGTGCCGAGTCAAGCTTTTGACCTCATTCTTGGTATGGATTGGTTGCAGCGCAATCATGCCAAGTGTGATTTTGAGGCTTCTCCCCCTTGTCTCATACTTCCTTATGTTTCATCCATTCCTCTCACTTCCATACCCCTTCGTCCCTCTACTTCTACCTCTGCTTCCATTACTTTTGTTCCCCCACTTTTTCCTTCTGTGTTTCCATTTTGTTCTGCTTTTCCCTTTTCCGATCCCTCCGACGATCTTTGTGTTGCAGCAGTTGACCGGCTCATGAAGGAGTATTCTGATCTCTTTGAATTTGACCTATCATCTGGGGCCAAGATTGCCACACGTCATCCGATTCCAACCGGGGATGCTCGTCCAATCAAGGTTCCTATTCGTCGTCGGCCACCTAAGGAGATCAAAATTTTACAAGCAGACGTCAAGGAAATGCTGGAAAAGGGTGTTATTCGGAAGTCGCGGAGTCCTTGGGCATGTGAAACTCATCTTGTGACGAAGCCTGATGGGAGTATTCGTTTCTGCATCGACTATCGTCCGTTAAACGAAGTGACGATCCCAGATGTGTATCCTCTTCCTCACATTGCTGATCTCTTGGATCGTCTGGGGTGAAGTCGTTGGTTCACCAAGCTAAATCTTGCTTCTGGGTATTGGCAAGTACTGATGGCCGAAGAAGATATTCCTAAGACTGCATTTCGTACACCATTTGGTTTGTACGAGTTCTTGGTGATGCCGTTTGGTTTGAACAATGCTCCAGCAACTTTCCAACGGATGATGGACGAGGTTCTTTGCGATATGCCGGAGGTGACTGCTGACTTCATTGATGATGTCTTGATCCACTCATAGGGGACGTGGGAGGGGCACGTTCGTGATGTTTGTAAAGTGTTGGATCGGCTACGTGATGTTGGTTTAAAGCTGAAGCAGTCAAAGTGTGTGTTTGGGTCTAAGGACACAACTTATCTTGGGTACTGTATTTCTCGTGAGGGTTTGCAAGTTGATCCTGACAAACTTGTGGCTGTTCTAAAGTTCCCTACTCCGAAGTGTGTGAATGATGTGCAATGCTTTTTGGGTAAGGTGCAGTATCTCGGTCGTTTTGTGGATCATCTTTCCGATCGCACTACACCATTGCGAGCGTTGCTGAAGTCATCAACGTCATCTTTCATCTGGTCTCCAGATTGTGAGCGGGCGTTCGTGGATCTCAAAGAGCTATTGATGACTCCTCCGGTTTTGGCATATCCTGACTACACTCAACCTTTTATTTTGCGTGTAGATGCTTCTGACATTGGTCTTGGAGGTGTGTTGATGCAAGAGAGCTCGAGTGTGCCTGGTCAGGGCCATCCCATTGCATACATAAGCCGTACATTACAACCAGCGGAGCTAAACTACTCCACGACGGAGAAGGAGTGTTTAGCAGCAGTCTGGGGTTTCGAGAAACTTCATGCATATCTACATGGTTCTCAGACGTTACTTGAAGGTGACCATGCTGCTGTTACTTCATTATTGAAGCGGAAGGACCTGGTTGGTCGTACGGCTCGATGAGCTTTGAAGCTTCAGATATATGATTCCGATGTTGTTCATCGCCCAGGGAGTTCTATGGCTGATGCTGATGCCCTTTTTCGAGCTCCTCTTCTTTCTCCACTCACTTCTCATGTTTCTGACGAACCTGTTGTTCCAGCGTCTGTGGATTTTCTAGATGAGGATTCTGTGCTGCCAGCGGTTGCTGTCCTTGACGTTTAGTGTCCACAGGGCGTAGAGCAAGATTTACCTTCTCTTGATAAGGTTCGCGAGGCTCAAAAGATTGAGCCATGGATTCGAAGGCTTCGAGATGGGTTTGAGAATCCTGCATCACTTACTGATGACTTGCCTTTCCGGCATTTACATTCTCAATATCGCCTTGAAGATGGCCTTCTTTATTTTGTGGGGACGGATCCTAATGATCATTTACGGTTGGTGGTGCCTTCGGTGTTTATTCCGCGGTTTCTCCATGCCTACCATGATTCTCCTGTTCTAGGTGGGCATATGGGACACTGTCGTGTCACTGAGAAGCTGCGTAGGTCTTTCTATTGGCCGGAGATGCGACGTGATATTATCCGGTATGTGCGTAGTTGCGTTTGGTGCCAAGCTCGTAATACTCCCCCTTGTGCTGCGAAAGGACGGTTGGAGTCAATTGTAGTTTCCCATCCGTTTGAGTTGGTGGCGTTTGATCTTATGGGACCTTTTCCACGATCGACTGCTGGCAATGAGTATGTTATTATTGCTTCTGACTACTTGACTCGTTGGGTGGAAGTTGGTGCTCTGGTTAGTGCCTCTGCAACTACTG